AAAAGCATTCTTACTTTATAGCATTTTTTCACACCTGCCTAAAACTTTTGCACAGTACTGTATCTTTAATGAAAGCTTTGAACTTTCTGTAGATAAGTAAAAGAAGAGAAACAGTAAAAAAAATGATGAAGGATTGTAGTTTCCAGAAGTAAAACAAGGAAGCAATATTTTGTTGAAAAACAGAGAACTTGAAAAATAATAGGGAGAAAGACATTTACAACAGAGTTAAAGTATTTTTTGAAAATTCACCAATTTCTGGGGAAATAAATAGCTTATGTAATAAATAAAGAAATTAGCTGAAGCCATTTGTACAAAGAAAGGGAGTAAAGCAGAGAATAAAAATGCTTGCCCAAAGTATGTAACATTAAAGAAAGTGGGAGAATTCAGATGGGGTAGTTTAAAGGAAAACTAGAAATCTGAAAACTCACCTCAGGCCTTTTTTGGGTGCAGTGAAGTCTGCCAAGTCTCTTTGCAGAAGGATTTTGCCCCAGGTTCAGTTCAGGCTTCAGAGTGAGTACATTTCTTTAGGGTAGCAAAGATCCAGCCCAGGAAACGTTGTAAATGTAATAACTGCCCTTCATTACTCTTGAGAATATTGGAAGAAGGAAGATGCATTTTGTGAAAACGTTAAAAGACAAAAAGAAACTGCACCCCATGTTGATGGTCTCAGGAATAAGACAAATGAAAAAGCAAAAACGATAGAACTGCTTATGGAGATCACAGGATAGATACAACATTTGGGGATACAGTCCTGAAACAGCCAGGTGGCAGTTGCTAGTTCACAGTCTGGTTGGGTAAAGGAGATGAACAGATGAACCAGTGCTAACGCTTACCTAAGAGTGAAAGTTTTAACATAAAGCAAAGTAGCTTCTTTTGATAAGTAGGTAAAACTGTGCAGGAGTCCGACTTCTGTAGCCAAGTTCACAGTGCAAAGTGGCTGTAAAAAGTGTAAGGAGAATGTTGGGCTGCATTGACAGTTTCCAGTCAGGGAAAGTATTTTGCGTTGAACGGGCCCATCTTAAGTCCAACGTCTAATGCTGAGCCCCACCTTTCAGAAGGATTCAGAGACTCCAGAGAACAGCTATGAGGATGCTCTAGAAGCTGTCTGACAAGAAAGACCCGAAGATACTTCTGGGGTTCTGTTTGTAACATCCTGAGATGGTCTCCCTCCCATGCTGGGTCCTGTGCCAAGGTGCGCTCCTCAGGAGCCACTCTGTGCTGGGGGCTTAGCTGCCCAGAACTTTTCTCTTCCTCAAGACCTACAGGCGGGGTTTTGAGACAGCAGGCGCCACTGCAGGATCTTGCATGATTATTTCAGGCATACCCAAAATAAACAATTTACATGGCAAAATGTTGTTAGACTTAGCGGTCTCACTTTGATGGACATCATTTCAGGGGGTCCTGGATACTGACCTCTTTCTGGCTTCAGGACGTCCTGCAGATTCCAGGTCTCCTTACAATTTCCACCAGCAGAGGTCCTGCTGGTTAAAGTCTTTAGCTTTTGCTTTGATGCCATAATGTATAAATTCAAATATTGCAAAATGCAGCAATCTCCAATAACTTTTCCACCAAAGCCACAATAATTGAAACCCGTTTGTTTGTTTGTTTGTTACTTGTATAGCCACCCATCTCACCTAAGTGACTCTGGACAGCTCCTAACAGTTAAACAACCACCACCAAATAGAAATAGGTTATTCCACTCAGGGAAATAGGAAGTATATAATATTAAAGCACTTGATATACTCTATTGCACTTACTGTTATACTTTGTTAAGGATAATTCATTGTGGTGGGCTAGGAGACTAAAGCTCTAGCTCCACGTGCTTTTGGGGGTGGGGGGAACTTGGTTTCTCTTTCAATACATGCTGTTCCGTCTCAAGATTGTTTGTCCAAAAGCTTATGGAGCCCACTTGTCCAAGGGGAAAAGGAAGAAATCCTCTGGACCCAGAGTCTGGTGCTCTTAAACAAACTGAAAGGATCTGGCTTTGCCCTACTTTGCTTCTGTAGCACCTCCCGCTCATTGGATGAGGAAAAAAGTTCTTTCTGCATCTCGTTTGTATTTCAGGAAGGTGACCAGCATTGCTCTAATGCCTCAGCAATGCTAAAGAATAAGTGATCCGTTGCTAAGGCACGTGTTCCCCTCCCACCTTTCTCTCTCCTGTCTAGTTCTTCTGGGTCCTCCTGGCCATCTTCGTCACTGAGTTGCTGCTGCTGCTGGTTGAAATCATCTTCGAGAAGCAGGTAAGCCCCCTGGGTCAGTCACTCCTGTGCCTGGAGGTGGCTGGGGGTGGGGGGCGCACCACCAATAGTTGTCAGCCCAGGGGAGGCAAAAAGACTGAATCATCTCCAGATTCCTGCTTGGTGCACTTGTTTGCTGAAGCAGAAGTTGGGTTTGGTCAGTTGCTTGTACTGTAAAAAAAAAATTACTCTGGCACAATTTATTTGCAACAATCCCATAACAAGCTCCTGTTACCTGTAAAGCTCCAAAGTTGCTTCTTGATAACCCTTTGAAGATCTTGCCCAGTATACGCTTCAAGCTGACAGGTCTGTAGTGTCCCTGGTCTTCTTTCTCCTCCTTTCTGAAGGGGGGATGACATCTGCTCTCCTCCAGGCGTAGGGAACTCATCAGTCCTCCACAAATTCTCAGAAGCTACCAGGAGGCACCTGTGCTGGTCTCTGCGGTCCCTTGGAATACAGTCCCTCTGGCCCTGAAGAGCCGACTTTCTTTCGGTTTCCTACATTCTCCCTCCTCCTTTCCTTGCCTGTTCTGAAGTGCAGCTGCCTCCTTCCCCAGGGAGATAATGACCAGCCGACACCATGTTCCTTCAGAGAGAAGGCAGACGCAGAACTGGGGGTAAGAGGCAGTTCTGCCTTCCCATCATCACTCGGGTGGATGGTCAAAGACGGCCAAAGAGTGTGGTCAAAGAAGTCAAGATATCAGCCACAACAATGCAGACTTCTGCCAGTTTCTTGGGTGTACTGCATGTGACACACATTACAAAAAGGTGGAACTTCGATCTTGACCTTTTTGACCATAGCCTGCATGCACCCCTGCCATCACCCGTTACTGGTTCGCCACTGTCTCTTCACAGTGGACCCATACCTCCTTGGGGCCTCCCTTTGTTTCTTTTTTTTTTTATAACAATATTTTATTGAAATTTTAAAATTACAAGGTTAAAAGTCAGAAATGAAAAAGAAAATGAA